AATCGTGCCCCAACTACCAATCAGATGCTGAACTTGATGATTTCGACCACCTGACTGGTTGTAATGTAACAAGCCTCAATGAAGGCAGATAACTGTAGCAATATGTCGACGCTCCTGGCTAACTTGATACAAACTAACTTGAACTCGATACAACTCAACTTTTTATAAACAAACTTGTTGATGAGCATCGACGTGGAACTCGCCTCTACCAACAAGCAAAACGTGAGTACACATTGCAGCAAGATTCCTGTGATTTCATCAAGCAACCTGCGCGTGACAGAACGTGTTCACAAACATCCAGCCACCGACACGTGCAGTAATTGAGGCTGACACGTGACAGGGGGAACAAGACCCGGGGACGGGGCAACAGCTGGGGGTGACACCTTACTCTTGTGTTGCATGGGGGGGGGGGGGGTTGTCGGAGCAGGTGATCTTCTGTTTTAGTTGTGAGGGGAATGTTACAGGTTAATTTACACACAAGTCGTTTGGTTTAGTTTTCTGGTTATAACAAGAGGAGGGTGGGGGGGGGGGAGGTTATATCTACTAAATAGTGTGGGAGGGGAATTATATTAGGGGTGTATCAAATGGTTGGGGGAGAGGAGTTATGTCAGGGGTGTTTCAAGTCAGGATAAGAGGGGAGTTATGTCAGGGGTGTTTCAAGTCAGGATGGGAGGGGAGTTATGTCAGGGGTGTATCAAGTGGGGGTGGGAGGGGTGTTATATCAGGTTGTACCTAGTGGGGTGGGAGTTATATCAGGCGTGAGATGAAGGCGAGAGGTGAATTCTGTTAGGACATATTTTTCGTTTAAATACTTCAATATGTAGGATTGTAAAATTGAACATACTGCATATGTAGCGATTGGATAACTGGTTATGCTTGAATAATATTATTAATGTGCTTTACAATGTTTGAAAAGTTCAGACATTTTCAGTTTGAACAGTAGCAATATTTTGAAAACATCAACTCTTTTTTTTTGCAATCAAACAAAGTATTCCGAGGAGAATGACGTGCATCGCATTTTTTAGTAGGCATATGATTTTTATTTTATACGAAAACATAATTTGTGTTTCACATTTTTTATTATGTTAGTTTATATACAAATTTATCAAATAAAAAATGAGAAAGTAAATGAATAAAAAGCATATGGACGGAAATAATTTGTCTGCTAATTAAGTCCGTCCAGAACGAGACAAGTGAATTATTTTTTCTCGAGGTTCATTAAGAGTTGTCTCTGTAGGAGAATTATTTCCCTTATTAGTTTTCTTTTCTTTGGTTACCCAATATACAGTGACAGAATCTTTCCCTTTATGATCATCTGCCATCCCCTATATTCATTTATAACCAACCATCACTACCTCAAATTATTTATTATCAATTATCATCATCCGCTATCAGTTATCATTACCGTTAATTAAACTAACAATAACCAACCACTATTGACCATTAACCATCATCTACCATCCCATCCTATCAACAACTTGAAACCACAATTTATCACCCGCAATCACCAATGTTTGGCATCATCAAAAACAATGTACTAACATCTACCTTAACTTAACAGTAAATGAAACAAAATCTAGACAAGATTCCTATTGCTTATTTAATATTTCTTGATATTAGATGAGCTAATATAGTATCATTTTATCTATCCATCCTTCTCAGCTCTTTAGTAAGTTCTGCGCAATGTACTTAAATAAATAAATAAATAAATGAATAAATAAATAAATAAATAAATAAATAAATAAATAAATAAATAAATAAATAAATAAATAAATAAATAAATAAATAAATAAATAAATAAATAAATAAATAAATAAATAAATAAATAAATAAATAAATAAATAAATAAATAAATAAATAAATAAATAAATAAATAAATAAATAAATAAATAAATAAATAAATAAATAAATAAATAAATAAATAAATAAATAAATAAATAAATAAATAAATAAATAAATAAATAAATAAATAAATAAATAAATAAATAAATAAATAAATAAATAAATAAATAAATAAATAAATAAATAAATGAATGAATGAATGAATGAATGAATGAATGAATGAATGAATGAATGAATGAATGAATGAATGAATGAATAAATAAATAAATAAATAAATAAATAAATAAATAAATAAATAAATAAATAAATAAATAAATAAATAAATAAATAAATAAATAAATAAATAAATAAATAAATAAATAAATAAATAAATAAATAAATAAATAAATAAATAAATAAATAAATAAATAAATAAATAAATAAATAAATAAATAAATAAATAAATAAATAAATAAATAAATAAATAAATAAATAAATAAATAAATAAATAAATAAATAAATAAATAAATAAATAAATAAATAAATAAATAAATAAATAAATAAATAAATAAATAAATAAATAAATAAATAAATAAATAAATAAATAAATAAATAAATAAATAAATAAATAAATAAATAAATAAATAAATAAATAAATAAATAAATAAATAAATAAATAAATAAATAAATAAATAAATAAATAAATAAATAAATAAATAAATAAATAAATAAATAAATAAATAAATAAATAAATAAATAAATAAATAAATAAATAAATAAATAAAAAAATAAAAAAATAAATAAATAAATAAATAAATAAATAAATAAATAAATAAATAAATAAATAAATAAATAAATAAATAAATAAATAAATAAATAAATAAATAAATAAATAAATAAATAAATAAATAAATAAATAAATAAATAAATAAATAAATAAATAAATAAATAAATAAATAAATAAATAAATAAATAAATAAATAAATAAATAAATAAATAAATAAATATATATATATATATATATATATATATATATATATATATATATATATATATATATATACATACATCTGTACACTTGTTTCAGCTCCCATAAATAATTTTTGAATATAGAACACGCACACGCACACAAACGCAAACAGACATAAAAAGACACACTTTCTTACACACTACCACAAAGACACAAACGCACACGCACTGATAGACACACACAGTGAGTATGTGACCTGGGTTTCGTAAAGTGTCCAGATAAATGTCAACAAAAATAGCCAAGATAAAACACGACAGACAGGGCTAGGAGATTCGTTACAAAAAGAAACTCCGACTAATTAACGGCAGACAACCTAAGCAAAATAAGGGGTCATCAGGTGCAGATTAGTGCACGGAAACATTTTACTTCTTTACACTCAATTTTTTCCTGAGTGTGCGATACTCTGGTATTGTGAGGCCTGGGCAGGCATTAGTAATACATACAAACATACAAACATACACATACGCACACATATATATATATATGTGTGTGTATGTGTATGTTGCCTACCTTGTGATGTAACCTTAGTGACATTGATGTTATGATCGAATGTTTTGTAAACAATTTTACCTCCCTCCTCCCCCTTCCCCACCCTCCCCGCCCCCTCCCCCCCAACCCATCATCTAGCGACTTATGAAGAAAGTTAAAACGCTTACAAGTGCTTTTGGGTGCAGACAATTTACCTTTTGTCAAACAGACTTAAGGGTTGCGATAATGTGTCTCACAAGAGCACAATTAACAGTCAGACAATACGTCTTACAACAGCACAGTTAACAGTCAGAAAATAAGTCTCATAAGAGCACAATTAACAGTCTGTCTGTTGGAAATATTTGCTTCTTATTTACAATTCAACAACAAAACAGTAAACCCCACCTGCAATTATTTTAGTACTAAAATGTCAACCATTTGCACAGCTATAGCGAGCACAAAAGTTGTAACCTTAGTACTTTTCATATCAGCACCGAAATTGAAATCTTAGACCATAGGCCCTTTTATTTTAGCTCCAATGTTTTATGCTTAGCCTTCTTTAATTCATCACCGAAATTGTAATCTTAGACCATAGGCCCTTTTATTTTAGCTCCAATGTTTTATGCTTAGCCCTCTTTAATTCATCACCGAAATTGTAATCTTAGACCATAGGCCCTTTTATTTTAGCTCCAATGTTTTATGCTTAGCCCTCTTTAATTCATCACCGAAATTGTAATCTTAGACCATAGGCCCTTTTATTTTAGCTCCAATGTTTTATGCTTAGCCCTCTTTAATTCATCACCGAAATTGTAATCTTAGACCATAGGCCCTTTTATTTTAGCTCCAATGTTTTATGCTTAGCCCTCTTTAATTCATCACCGAAATTGTAATCTTAGACCATAGGCCCTTTTATTTTAGCTCCAATTTTTTATGCTTAGCCCTCTTTAATTCATCGCCGAAATTGTAATCTTAGACCATAGGCCCTTTTATTTTAGCTCCAATGTTTTATGCTTAGCCTTCTTTAATTCATCGACGAAATTGTATTCCCTTCGCATCTACTACAGCACTAAAATGTTAACTTTTGTTGTAATTATTTAAGTACAAAATGTTAACCTTAGTGGGTTCAGAAAATTAACTAAAAAGCTAAACAATAACAAACCAACCAAAAACAGTCTTACCCCCTTTAGCACTACAAGATCCAAACACATTTATTATCCCAATTTTAACACAAGGTACACAACTTCGATATCCACGTAACTTTTTCTAGATTATTCCATAATGACATTGATAGCATTTGAATACTAAATAAGTTTAAAAAAAATGGTTTTTGCTTCATAAACTTTAGGAAAAATTCAATTTGGGAAGTAAATTTTAAGTTAAACACACGACGACGACAGCTCGTGTACTGAGTCCAGGAGAAGGTAACTCACAATATTTCACAAAGGGACGTAAACGTATACAATTTACGTCTGCCACTGTAGTTTATGTGTTTGGGGCGGTTTTTTTTTTTCAATTTTTAAGTTGTGGGAGTTGAACGGAACACCCAGGCTTAAAAAGTTAAAATGCATCCAGTTCAAAGAATTATTGCTACCTTAAAAATTAAATTTAAAAAAATTGAAATTACATTTAAGGGAGACAACTTTTAATACATTTTTTTTCTTCAATTATTTTCCTCCTGCAGGTTTATTGGGATTGTCTTCCCTCTCAAGGTTTATGAACTTTGCACGAGAAAAAAGATGATCGGGGTCATCTTTGTCATCTGGCCAGTCTCTTTCTCGTGTGGTCTGCCCGTTGTCATCTACAACGAAATGGTGCCTTCATTGCCGGGTATACACCTGTGTCAGATAACTCTTCCAGGTGAAGATAGACTAAGAATGCATATGATCTACAGATATCTGGAATCCGCTTTGTTTTATTTCCTACCATTGGCAATCCAGATCGTGTTGTATTCGATTATCTCTAAGCGTTTGTTCGCCAGTAATCACGAGTTAAGTACTCGGTTACAGATGCGTTCGACTGCGAATCGCACGAATGACTCGACCAACGATACCATCAAAGCTAGAAGGGGCGTGGTCAAGATGTTGATTTCGAGTGTTGTCTTGTACATGGTGAGCTACTCGCCCACCCAGGTCCACCTCATCTACTCCACCTTCGCCAGGTCCTCTGTCTTAGACAGCTGGGAATTCTTCGTCTTCGTCATGGTGGTCACGCACATCAACTCTGCTGCCAATCCGGTTCTCTACGGCATCTTCAGCCAGAACTTCCGGAGGAACTTCAAGAGATGTCTGTGCTGGTGCCGGAGCCACAAGAACACCAGAACCATCTACGACTCGCTCGAGTCTCGGCTTGTCTCGATGAGGTCTTCCAGCACAGCGAAGACGTATGTCTCGAAACTGTGACGTTTTGCGACCTTGTTTTACTCCAGTCTAAAAATAAACTAGGGGAGATAAGCAAACGAAAAGTGATATTGATTACACCCGTTCTTTCAAGTGTTGATTAGTTGCTTGGTTTGATGTTATTTAGTTTAATATTTGTAGACGGTATACTAAAACATACTATCAAATTCTCGATTAATAAAAGAATAATTATCATTAATTAATAAAAAAGAGCAATTGTTTAAAATATAGTCTTATATTTTATTGTGTATAAATATATGTATATTCAGGTTAATTTATTTTAAACTTCTTACTTGTTTTGTTAAATTATCTTTTTTTTCTGACTCACATTTCTAATAAAGCATACCAAAAACTAATCAGTAGTATTAGATGGCTTTACTTATTGGTTAGTTGTCCTACATATGTACTACCAAATATTACAGAAATAACTAAATTGTATTTTTCTTTAATCAATGGATATATATATATATATATATATATATATATATATATATATATATATATATATATATATAATGAAGTCTCAGGTACAGCTTTTCTACCTCTTGTAAAGAAATTTAAAAACAATATGATAAATATAAAATTTGTGAACCGGATAATTGCATTATAAATACGATAGTAATATTCGATCATAATTTCTTTACAGTACTTGATCTATATAAAAGCAATTGTTGACACGATATTGTGGGCGATATTCACTGTGCTATAATGCAAATAAGTTTAGGATAAAATTGTATATTTAAACATAAGTGTTTGTTTTTCCTTGAACATTTTGATATCTATATTGTATGACACAAGGCGGTAGAGAGTTAGACTGCTAACGCGAGAGTCACGAGTTTGAATCCGGGTTCTAATTAGAGTAACATCCATGAGTCCACTCAGCTCTTATGGGTACCCAACCTACGAGGAAACAAAGGTAGCTGGTGACCACACTATCCCTTCATATACCGAGGTCTCTGAAGCAGATTGACTCTACTCTTGGGCACGAAAGGGAAATGCTGATGATGAAGATTGTATGATACTACTGAGTAAATAAATGTATAGGTTAAACATATAACGGCGTTACTTGTAGATCACCTTTTCTTCACAAAACTCTTCACATATTCTACAGTTTGGTTAGAGATTCGGTATTCACTGGTGTATACGTGTAGTCACAGTAGACTTACAAACTTGTAAAAAACATTTACGTCACACTAGATATTCAAACAAGCAAAACTAACAACATTATTAGAAACATTCCTTCACCCAGTTGAAATTGTGCATTTCTTTATTAATACGTTGTGTACATTGCAGAATTTTTGTACGGTGAAATGTTTATATATATATATATATATATATATATATATATATATATATATATATATATATATATATATATATATAAAATAAACATATATATATATAAAATAAACATATATATATATATAAAATATTATGTATATGTTAGGGGGGTTTAAACCGAAGAGGTGATCTTATTCACTCATCCGTGCACCTTTGCGTGGTGACAAAGGGGTCTAATAGACCTGAACAAAACTAATTTACATCTAAACAACACCAATATTAAACTAAAAATAAAACATAGTAAACACACAAAATATGCATTTATTTATCTTTGTTTGACGTCACAAAGGTTTATATGTTAAAAGCAAAGACACAATACAAATAAGACCTGGCCAGTCTTTCATATTCAAGAAAACATCACTTGAATTTCTAATACAAGTCAAAAAGACAAAAATAATCAAACTTACATTTCAATGCAGAATTAGTCACCGTGGTAACTGACATTAATTCATAGAAAACACATATATAAGTGTGAATAGCAAATCTACATTTACACAACTCAGAATTCACACATGTCATATCCTCTAGTCCTAAATTAAATGCTTGCACTGCTTATGTAATCTCAGAATCACATTTGTCCAAGTTATTCTTCCTAGTTCTAATTTCACTTGTACTGCTATGTAAGCTCAAAATCAAAAACGTAAATGTCATCGTCTCGTCTATCTTTACTACTTGCACTGTTATGTAATCCCAGAATGACACGGGTAAATGTTATCATCACTAATTCTGATTCCACTAATCAAACACGGTTAAAGTCCATCTATGAATACTCATCAGTACTCACAACAATCTAGCTCGACACTCAAACGGCAGGAAGTTTCCAGCCACTGAAATAAACATTGAGCCACTGGTACAAACATTGGGCCACAAAGATAATGGCCACTGGAACGAAGAACATATCTACACGGCAGGAAGATTTCCAGCCACTGGAATAAAACATCTGGCCACTGGTACAAACATCGGGCCACAAAGATAATGGCCACTGGAACGAAGAACATATCTACACGGCAGACGTTTGGCCACTGGTACAACATTGGCCACATGTATAAACATAGGTCACATATGTAAATATCTGGAACGAAGCACATATGTACAGCAACAAAACATCGACTGGGCCAATAATCCAGCCTTAGTGGCCAGCCATAAGGCTGCCACCATCCGAGGCCTAGACCATCGTGTCTAGCCTATGTGTCTGTGAGAGAAAAGAGACCTCAACATAGTCGCCCTTCCTCATATATAGGTTAGTCTCACCCCCCTTATCATCTCCCTAGAGCTATAGAACCCGAGTTGGGCTCCGTCCCATCTCTCGACGTTCGAGATAACACCGGTCACTATGCACCCATGCGTTGCACACCTGATAATTGACAGCTATAGATCTTCACATTGTCTCAGGGCTAACGATCGTGTCATACACCGCTCGAGCTAACGTACGACCACGCGGTACTCCCGCTGCGTTTCACACCTGACAACTGACCACAACAGAGATCATGAGTAATGATTCTACCGGGACGTCCAGCGGCATGTCCAAACTCAACTTTAGACATAAATCACCGCGGGTGTCTTCCCATCATTACGTGCCACTCATGCACCTGCATAGAGCTCGTAGCCCTTAACGACCAGAGTGAGCCAATAACATTTAATTAAATTTTAGATATCCCCGGCCTGCTCATCCCCAATATCTTAGATTAACCCCTTGGGTTTCTGTAACTAGTCCTAGTCACCTAAACCCCTTTAATAAGCACCCAAGTTACCATTTTACTTAAAAATAAACAATATAATACCAGCCAACATGCCTACTTAAGAATCAACAATTTGGTACCAGCCAACATATATATATATATATATATATATATATATATATATATATATATATATATATATATATATATATATATATATATATATATATATATATATATATATATTAAGTGGCGGTTTTAAGATCATCGCATGTTTGAAATCGAAAGCATTCACAACGACACGGGCGCTTCGACCAAAACCCGCAGCATGATAAGACTGCTAAAATTGTGAGGATACATTGGGATGTAGGGAGTTAAAGCCCCGAAGCCCTCTGTATACACCATCGGTGGTGTAAGCTGTAAAAATTATTTTTTCTCTGGATGGTCTCAAATCTGCAAGTTTCAACTTCCTTATGGTTAATTTTTTAAAATATAGGCTAATTGCAAATTCTGCAAACATACATAATGTAAGCACAACCCATTTGATAATTTTCATCATAAAGCGTATTTAGTTCCGCTCAGACGACATAACCATAAAATGGTTAATCACTTTTTACGCTGTTGGGTTGGAGGGGTTTCATTGAGAATTCACTTAATTAATTAAGTGCTACCATGCTACCCAGAGAGGCTAGGCCAGGGGTCGGCAACCCGCATGCGACTCTTTTGATGTCAATATGCGGCTCTTCAACTCCATGCACAAATATTAATAGAATCAGTAGCGTACGCAGGGGGGGAGCAGGGGGAGCGGCCGCTCCCCCTCTGGCCATTTTCAGCAAAGTGGCGCCTTTTTGGAAACTTTTTAAACTCAAAGTTTTAAACAATGATATTTGTTAAAAAAATATTTTTGGTCGGCACATCTATGTAAATCACAAGATTTCTTTTCATGCAGCAATTAAGCATTATTGTACTAGTCTATTAGTGTCTACGTTTACAACACGTATTAACAGCTGCATCAGTTTGCCATTCTAAAAATAACCATTACGATGCATTGCAATGTTTAAAAAACCTCTACGGTAGTACCACTTGGCAAGAGGGGTGTTAAGTTTAAGGCAACTGTATAATGTATTTGCTTACGAATAATTGAATTAGAAAATGTTATACATAAAACTTCACACATAATTACTTTAAATATACAGTTTGAATCGTGTGATTAATTTTTAAAAAATTACAATACAGAAACAAATGCAACTGATGTGGCACCTCTATTTAAATTTACTTATGAGCAAACTGCGTAGTGGTAGGGAAATTTTGACAAGGTCAACAACGTCATCACGATGAAGTAGTAGTATTCTTACAGTTTGGGCGATAGTGATTACGATTACAAATTATATGAAACAGTTACAACCCCCCTCCCCCATGGACCCCTCTGTAAAAAAAATATTGTCATAATACCACTGCTACTTATTTAAATCTATTTCTGTAATATATATTTTAGTAATATATATTTGTGTAATATGTGTATGTTTAGAACAGTCATCTAAAAACTGACAGTATGTTCACTCTGAGTTGGTTATCTTCCCCCCCCCCCACCTCACCACCACAATTGTGTAGAGCGACATTAATGTCACACCTAGGTATACACTGGGTTGGATAATTGACCTAAAGTGAACGGACAGTGGTGAATGAAGTTGAAACCGCCCCCCCCCCCACCCACCCCGAACTCATCTGTTAAGTACATGTAAAAATGATGTACCAGAGTACCATGCCGCCAGAAAATTAGCTTTTTAAACATAAAACTCTGTGAATATTGTTTTTGCAATTACCCAGTAAAAAGGTGTGTGATCAATACAGTGATCTAACCCATACCTATCACTAAGTTAAACAAGTTAATTAAAAGTCTAGTGACAATTTAAGCGCAATTTCCTTATGTTATCCATAACAATTTTAAATCGAGATAAATCATATATTCAGCAACGGAAATAGTTTTATTTTAACGAGTAGGCCTACACGATGCTCAGTTAAAAAAAAAGACAACTATATTAACCTATATCAACGAGTAGGCCTACACGATGCTCAGTTTAAAAAAGTAGTAAATATTTCTTAATTAATTCTTTGTGACAGAACGAAAGGATATTTTTGAAAACTTTCTTCGGCAATATTGTTCTAAATTATGGCAGGAATCGAT